TTAAGAGCATCAATACATGTGGCTCTGCAAGTCAGCAGTTTCCGGGGAATTTCGTACAAATTCTTTACAGTCAAGGCATATCGTATGAAATCACTTTCACCATGTTTTCTGTTTCTGAGGTTGGAAAGTAAGACTTGCTAATATTACCGGCAGAAAATGAACTAGACTCCAATTATCGCGAAAGGAGTCCTTTCTCGAGAATTATTCTGAACTGGTAGGGAATCGAACCACCTCTGTTTGCGTCCGAGTGCAGCGCGTTACCACTAAACTACCGATCCACCACAATTTTTCAAGAAAGAGCTCCCATTCATGATGTAGTGTACCGATTTTTCTTGGGACTTCTGTGGCACCACTAAAAATCTTGAAATTTAACTAAAACGAACCTGTTGTAGGCCAAGTTCAATTTTCGACAATTCTCGTATTTCGTACTTTTTCACTTTTCCGGTTACTGTCAATGGGAATTCGCTCTCCTTTTTAAATAAAATATATCTCGGGACTTTGAAATGAGCTATCTGAAAGGACCAATAGTCGAGTAAAAGTATGCACCAGGATGAGACGTATTTACAAATCTGCATGAGTGTTAACGATTACGGTGAAAGAAAGGCCAAACAAATTACAAAATAATTTACTCGTCCTTTGCAGAAATTCCGGATATCTTCAGTGGTGACATCGTCTGCGGAATCATGTAGTCGTATCCACGCACACACCACCTCACCATACCGTTCATCCGGTACACCAACAACCTAAAGTTTAGTCGCTTCTAGAAAAAAATGAGGAAAATACGACAAAAACAAGGAGCATTTGAATGAAAAATGAAAATCAATACGCAAAATCGTAGCTTCACCTGCACGTCTTCAATTTTTGGATGCCGAAAAAGATACTGCTCCACTTCAGTTGGGTAAATATTTTCGCCGCCCCGCACAATCATGTCTTTCTTCCGACCAACAATACTTAAAGAACCGTTTTCGTGCATTACACCAATATCGCTGCAAAAAAATAGACTCTCATAAAATATAAAAACAAAAAATTTATGAGGGTTTTTTTTAATTGACTAAACATTTTGTTCAGTTTCCTGTTTTGCAACAGAGTTCTGCTCTTGCAAGCGCAAGTGACTTTGGACAGAACAAGGGAAAAAGAAGTGGAAATGCAATGAAAAGGGAGGGAGGATGCGCAATGAGGTAAGGAGGGTAATGAAAACGTTTTAAAGCTAAATATAAAATTATTGCCTAGCAGCAATAAAGCTTTGTGTTTCACTTTGAAAATGGGATTAACAATTCCTTCCCGATTTGACTTTCTGCTAACATTTAGAGTCAAATGGTCTGAAAGTATTTCAGTACTCACTGCAGTGTTTTTAAAAATACTCATTGTTGTTTTTGTATGTCGGATTTCAAAACGAGCGCCGGGTATTTACGCAAACTCACTTTTTTTTAAAAAAAAATAAAGCTAAACCACACTTTTTAATCTTGCTAGTGTTAAGAAAAATTTTTGAAGCTTTTGTAGCAAATTTTAGTGGATCTCTGAAGTATATCACGGTTTTTTGACTACTTCATGGCATGTTCTGGCATGAGCAGTACCGTCTTTTGCATACTCCGAAACCTTGCACAGGAAACAGCATTATCCTAACGATTTGCCATGCTAGTAAATTGGTATAAATATTCCTATCATTCCGGAGATCAAATCGTCTTCACGGTGTTTTGTAAACAATTACTCGGAAAAACCATTATCGCCAATTGTTACTGTGCCTTCACCTTTTCGGGTGAACTAAAAAAAGAGCAGTGGCCATTTAAACAAGTTTCCATTAATTTTCATGTAGAAAAGCTGAAATTACGCTGAACAACAGAGCTAACCCAGTATGGTACCACCTATCAGCTGTAATTTCTTCTTTGGTCTGATCTTCGCTGTCCCAGTAACACCTCATCACTGCGTAGCCACGAACCAGTACTTCACCGCGTTCACCTCGAGGTAAAATCATTCCTTCTTTGTCGACCACGGCAGACTAAAATGAAAAACGATAATTCCATAACACTGGACTGGCTCTTTGGTTTCGTCTCACAGGCTGAGCTATTCCATACTTCTGGAAATCCGAATTTATTAGGGAAGCTACCATTGTCATACTGGAATTCAGGCGCCAGAAGAATATAATGAATTCGATGATAATTGGGCAGAAGTAACTACGTGCTATTGGAAGTGGCATATGAATCCTTGAATCAAAATGTGAAGGACTAAACTAGTTTTAACAATTTCATTTTTTTGACACCTTTCAAGTATTTGTTGTATTAATTTTCACAGTGTTCATTGCCAAAAATTTTTATAGAATTTGGAAGGGAGATTTGATAAAAGTCTTGCAGAGATACAAACAGATCTTACTGGAGTTTGTTATTTTTTTTTTTTTTTTTTTAAT